CCCCCCCCCCTCCCCCCCCCCCCGAATAGACAAGACCTCCATGCTCTCGTCTACTTCCGCATCCGTGACTGCAGATCGTTGGACTGCTGGCATTAGGGCTCGCGATGTCACTGTATTTGTGCTGCCTTTCTGGGGCCAGGGGACGAGGCCCGCCGCATTGATGAAGGGTTTAGGTCTAGGCGGGATGGGGCCGGAGAGTGCGGGCGTGCAACTCGATCATTGCGCGCGCGTGCGCGCCCCTCAAACAGGGCGGGACTCGGCAGGGCCGAGTCCCCCCTGTTTGAGGCGTGCGGCACGCAAGCGCGCGCGCGCTTTTTTCACGGGGGGTGCGGGGGAGGGGTCCGGGGCGGGTGGTGGAGCTTGCGCGGGGTTCCTGGGGTTGGACAGGCTGCTCGGGCCTTCTCTGGGACGCATGTTTCGGTCAGGACAGAAGCCAACGCTACCTAGGAGAAAAGAATCGCTGAGACACTCGTTGATGAGGCTTAATTAGTGCTGATTATAGGACTCATTAGTGAGAACGTAACACTTCTCAGTTAAGCTTAATTAGGCTTATATAATTAGTCCTAGCTAAGCTTAAGTACGGATTTCAAGATGTGACACAGATAAGCAAGCTTATCTCTTAAGGGGGGGGATTCAGGGGGGAGGGGTTGGACCATCTATGAAGCCTAAAAACCCCAAACCCAAGATCTTAGGACCAAAACCCAACAACTTAGGACCAAAACCCAAGAACTTAGAACCCCGACCACTTATCAACCCACAAGCCCAAAGTCACCTGGAAACCCGTAGACTACAGCGCAAGTGCCTTACAGTCCAAACGGTCAGAAACAGGTACCATTCACAGACTTTTAGACGACAATGTAAGTTTCAAAACTCGTCCACTTCGAGTCTTCCCAGAGACCCTAACCGACTAGAACCCTATAAACCCCAACCCGCAAATAGAAGCAACTTTTATATAGGGGCCCCAATAATTCGAATAGGGTCTTGGGGCCCACTCTACCCCAATTCTCACAAGGGCCCACCCCCCCCCCCCCAACATAGTATAGTTATTTTTTTAGGCCCTACATTACATCCGCCAATACCTCGCCCTCTCGATCAAAGGGCCCTGGGATCCCCGGCCAACATGAGGCCCAACTCCTCGGCTCGCAGGCGACTCTGATTACCTGGCAAGGAAGGCCGTTAGAGGGGCTTCGGGACTTTGGGGAGTAGGGGCTTGGGGTTTAGGGGTTTAGGGTTTTGGGGTTTTGGGTTTTGGGTTTTGGGCTTCGGGTTTCTGGACTTTGGGGAATATAGGGGTTTGGGGTCTATGGGGCAAAGGGTTTTGGGGGGTTGAGGGGTTAGAGGGCTTCGGCGTTACGGTTTAAGGGTTTACGGGGTTTAGAGGTTTGCGGTTTAGGGTCTATGGGGTATACGAGGGTTTCGGGTTTTGGGGGGTTGAGGGAGCAGGCTCAGGGTTGAGGATGTAGGATTTCGTTGGGCCTCATGCGGTGGTTTGGGAGGGTTTCGCTCAGGGATGCAGGGTTGCCTGCTCCCAACTCTGCACGCAAGGTTCAAGGATGGGTTAAGAGAGTTCAGGCCTGAGCTCACCAGGAACTGCCGGGTGAAACTCGTGGATTTGCGTGAGGAGTCAACTTACAGGTGCCCATACTTGGAGGTTCATGGGTAGTTCTAGGTAACTATACTTATAACCCCATATTANNNNACCCATGAACCTCCAAGTACCCCACGAGCTCATGATGGAACACCATTACTGAACATCGCTGTCGTCCGGAATGTCTTGTTGACCCTGCCGTGAAAGACTATGACGACGGTAAATCAGCACGAGGAAAATCCCGACTACCCGGACAAGAAGATGAATGTGTACACGGCTTCTCAGGTACGGTCAATGAGTTTAGGCTTTGGCTGGCTCCGTGAGGTGATGGGGTGAGAACCTGGCGTCTGTACAGTAACTAACCACTTCACGACATCGGCCACGTAACGCTCCTGCACAAGCCAAGACTCGCCTGTATAGTTCTTGTTCGCACCACCCTTGCCAGCACCTGATGTGGCGAGATACATCGGCAACCGTGAAAAGGCAAAACATGCACTGTCTCGGAGCTTAAACTGGTTGCTGCAGGCAAGCGGGGCGTGACAACGTGCTAGGCATGTGCATGCTAGCTTGTGCAAAGAATGAATGGCTCAAAACAAGGCGTTGCACTGGTACTGAATTGGGAAAATGTGGCTTTTTTGTTAGCATCTCTTGCTTGTGGGGAGTCGTGATAGCAAGAAGTACATGAATCGTCACGCCCATGCTGCCCCATGTCATCATCACCATCATCACCATCA